TATATAAATTGTCATTAAGGGGAGGAAAAATATGATCTTGTATGTTTTTTAACATTTTATTTTAAGTTAAATTATTTTAGAATAATAATACATTTTAACAGTAATGGTATTAATATTATTATTAATTAAAACATTTTTAAAAAATTAAATTAATTCATTAATTAATTCCTACAGCCCCCTTGGAAATTTCCTGAGGCCCATTAGTGTGTACAGGTTTGACTATATTTCTGAAGTCCAAAATGTCCTCACTAGTGAAACCTTGTTGAACAGACTAGCAAGTAAAAAGGTTTATAAATCAGACAATTATTTATCAGACAATGAGACTTTATTTCTAAATCTACAGATTTGCACCGGTTTCTGTGAGGGTTATGTTTTGGGATAGGGGTCGGGTTAGGCCATAGAAAATATCTCTAACCTGATAAAATAAATAAATAAACAAATAATGGAAGTCTGTGAGATTTCCTAACTAATATAGTGAAGCAAACGTGTGTACTGTATGTGTGAAATTAAACTCCATAAACTCCGTTTTTCCATACTGTACCTTGCTGGATTACTGTCTCTCCGGCGATGTGTGTGACCGGGAACATGGCATCAAATATGTCACTGGGGGAAAAAAAGAGATACATTAGATTAATCTCTCATTCAATCATTAGAAATTCAAAAACACAAATACAACACATTAAATTCAGCTCAATGGTAATATAGGTGTCATCTTTATGACTGGAAAAACAAATGCCAAATACATGCTCTGGTCACAGAGATCAAGTGATCACACCCTTCACCCCACGTTTTCACCGTAGAAACACACGTGTTGAACATACAAAAGACAACAAACTAATAGTAAATGCTCATACTCTGTTCTTTACGAGACACACACCCTCAAACAAGACAAAACCACACAACCATGTCTGTGTGAAAGCAAAGAGTGTCGTAATTGTTACAAATTTATGACCCTGATAATGCACTTCCATTCTTTGTGTTTCGGCAGCCACTGGTGTGTTAGTCACTACACATGACCCCTGACTCCAGTCCCACAATACACCTCTCTGCTTACTGCTGCCGGTTGTAGGCAGTGTTTATTCACTGCTGCTGCTGCTGTTGTCAGTGCCTCAGTAGTTGTATTTATGTTATGTTTGCATGCTAAATATGTAAATATGTTTGACATCTCAAGGCATACAAATTGAGGAACCAATTATGACTGTGACACAAACCATGGCGGATGAGCTACAACCAATGATATTTTACACTGTAAAAAATGATTTTTTGAAGTTGCAAATAAAACAAACATTATTGGGGTACGTTTTACTTAAAAATGTCAGGTTCAATTCAGTGTTACTTGTTTCTTTGTAATTATTTATGAAATTGTTCTGAGTAAAAATAATTTCAAAGTAAATCCTACACAAAAAAAAATTTCAGTTTAGTTTTATTTATGCACTAATATTTTTAATTAGCTTTAATTTTTATATTTTCTGTTATTTATTTTTATAGTAGTCAAAGTTTTAGTAATTTTGCCATACGCTTTTCTCATTTTTAATTTTTTAAGCTAAAGTTTTTCACCTAATGTTTCACATAATGCTTTGTGCTTTTCTAACTTTTATTGTTTTTAATACTTCAATTTAGCTTTAATTTATTTATTTAGTTAGTTAACTTTAGTAATTTTATCACTTCAGCTCAAAATATTTTATTTCAGTTAGTTGCCAAGGCAACATTTATAATTTTCTAAGGATTTTAAGCTGAAGCTTATTGTCTAATATTTATTTTTTTATTTTGTTTCAGCCCTATTTTAACTAGCGAAAACATGTTTTTATTTATTTTATTTTTTTTGTTAACAATGACAACACTGCGAGTTTAGACTGAGCAAACACTGGTCATAATGCAACCAAGGCCAACAAAACATGTTGTTAAAATTAGTTCCTTTGAGTTTATATTTAAGAATATAAAAGTAATTGCATGCATTCTACTTCAGAGAAAACAGTAATGCAATGATTAGAGGCATTGAAGCTCATATTCCAGTCTTGAGAGCAAATAATGGAGCATCTGGTAGGTGGTCTTCAATCGCAAGCTCTTGGTTTTAGAAATTTACTGAGTGTAAAGGATGTTTATTTAAAACGTTCCACCACCAGAGCTCTCATCAGCTGTCTAGCTGCGGGGATTCCCCGGCACTCTAACCCATTCACAGCAGCATTACGAGACGTATGATTTCAGTGGGAGATGATGATGATGGCTCCCTAGAGAACGGCAGCTATTTCAGCGAGGTGAAGTGGTTAAAACAAAGCTGTGAGTAGCCATTACAAAGACCAGGATGGTTAAACTCAAAGTGTGATGTCACAGAGAATGATGTCAGACGGAGGAATGATCAGAGGAGAAGTCTTGAGGTAAAGGGCGGGAAAAGGGATTGAGAAGGTGGCTGGTGATGAGCGGTGGTGAGATCAGTCTTAAATTTGAGAAAGGGTGGGTGGGAAGTGTTTGAGAAGGACTGCAAGGTTGGAGGAGGAAAGAAAGCTCTTGTAGCTCAACTAGGGGTGCTAGCGATGGCAAGGTTACAGGTTCAATTCCCCAAAAACGGTTAAAAGGTTTAGGGTCAGTAATATTTTGTATTTTTTTTTGAAAGAAATTAATACTTTTAATCAGCAAGGATGCATTCAATTGATCAAAAGTAACAGCAAAAAAAATTATCTTTCACATAAATGCTGTTCTTTTGAACTTTCTATTCATCAACGAATCCACAAATATATTATGCAGCACAACTGTTTTCAATGTTAATAATAAAAAAATGTGTTTCTCAAACACAAAAGCAGCATATCAGGATGATTTCTGAAGGACCATGTGACACTGAAGACTGGAGTAATGATGCTGAAAATTCAGCTTTTTAAAATAGAAAACAATATATATTTTATATATATGAAATATATATATTTTACAATTTTACTACTTTTTTTACTGTATTTTCAATAAATGTAGTCTTGGTGAGCAAAAGAGGTAGGGATGTGGCGATCAGGTTTTTTGTGCCCCCAATCTAATCCGAGTCATTGAATATTGACTACCTGCCAATACCGAGTCCCGATCCAATACTTTTACATTCCTAGTGTTTGGTGCACAATTCAAGTACATTAAAGTTAATAAAATCAATCATATGCAGAGTTGTGCAGAAAGTAAAAGTAATATAGATGTATATGTTTATGTGTGCGTGCGTGCGCGCGCGTGTGTGCGTGTGTGTGTGTGTGTGTGTGTGTGTGTGTGTGTGAAATAAGTTACACTCTCTCTCTATGAATACACTCACTGGCCACTTTATTAGGTACACCTTGCTAGTACCGGGTTGGACCCCATTTTGCCTTCAGAACTGCCTTAATTCTTCGTGGCATAGATTCAACAAGGTGTTGGAAACATTCCTCAGAGATTTTGGTCCATATTGACATGATAGCATCACGCAGTTGCTGCAGATTTGTCGGCTGCACATCCATGATGCGAATCTCCCATTCCACCACATCCCAAAGGTGTTCTATTGGATTGAGATCTGGTGACTGTGGAGGCTATTTGAGTAAAGTGAACTCATTGTCATGTACAAGAAACCAGTCTGAGACGATTTGAGCTTTGTGACATGGTGCATTATCCTGCTGGAAGTAGCCATCAGAAGATGGGTACACTATAGTCACAAAGGGATGGACATGGTCAGCAACAATACTCAGGTAGGCTGTGGCATTTAAACGATCAATTGGTACTAAGGGGCCCAAAGTGTGTCAAGAAAATATCCCCCACACCATTACACCACCACCACCAGCCTGAACCGTTGAGACAAGGCAGGATGGATCCATGCTTTCATGTTCTTTACGCCAAATTCTGACCCTACCATCTGAATGTCGCAGCAGAAATCAAGACTCATCAGACCAGGCAACGTTTTTCCAATCTTCTATTGTCCAATTTTGGTGAGCCTGTGTGAATTGTAGCCTTTGCTTCCTGTTCTTAGCTGACGGGAGCGGCACCCGGTGTGGTCTTCTGCTGCTGTAGCCCATCTGCTTCAGGGTTCGACGTGTTGTGCGTTCAGAGATGGTATTCTGCATACCTTGGTTGTAACGAGTGTTTATTTGAGTTACTGTTGAGGTAGACATTTTATTTGTACAATAAGCAGAATAATTGCAACAAAGTGGAGATAAGTTTAGAAAGCATGAAGCTTATGTTGTCAGAATGCCTGTCTATCAGTCAAATCCAAAACAAGATGCAACCCATGGCAACGTGTTACAACAACGGCATCTCAGATAACAGGCAGATAACAGTAAATGATAAATCAATGAGTGATTGTTTGAAAGTGTGCATCAAATACACTGAACACGGAAGTGCTCGGAAGTGTGCGAGGCGCTAGAACAGACCTCCATGGTTCTCGTGCATCACGCACACGTTTGAGTTTCTTCTTTTCTTTTTAATGGCAATTGGCAAACCCACCTAAAGGCGTATAATGTCACCTACTGCACGACACCAGCATGACAGCTGATGTAAAATAAGGATCGGGCTGAGGAGAGCCGATACCGATCAGTTAAAAAATTGCTTGATCGGCCCAGATCCAGATCCATGACTGGCTCAGGACATCCCTAAAAAGAGGCTCTTTCTTAAGAGAATCTATTAATAACAGGATAAAAATCAAAGTTTGACCCCAAACTTCTGAACAGTAGTTACACATTAAATATCTGGACATCTAATCTATGTCTTAAATTCTATAGTGAAGGAATAATTTTAGTTTGGGTGGGAGATCGATGTAAACACAGATATCGAACGCGAGTCATGTTGTGTAAAAGTAAACAGGTGGGACAAAAAAAAGAATATGGTCAAAACATCAGATCTATGCATTAAACCTTAGGGCCCTATTTTAACGGTCTAAGCGCACAGCGCAGGTGCACTCAGGGCATGTCTGAATCCACTTTTGCTAGTTTAACGAAGGGGAAACGACCGGCGCGCCCGGGCACATGGTCTAAACGGGTTGTCCCTATTCTCTTAATGAGTAATGTTTTTTTAGCATAACGTGCAATAAACCAATCAGAGTCTCATCTCCCATCCCCTTTAAAAGCCAGTTGTGCTCGCGCCATGGCGGGTTCGCTATTTACATGGCGGAATGTAATTTTAAATTTGTAAAAATGTTTGTGTGCTGCTGTGCATCCCTGTATGTGTAATAAGCAAAGTGTACGAGCGTTGTGCACCCGCCTATTACCCAGGCGCATATTACTAACGCTTTAAATAACAAAGAAAAAATATTGCGGCAGACTTTAGACCAGGTTTGAGTTGGTCTATGGCGTAGTCTATTTTCAGTTCCTCAAAATAGCAACGCGTCAGCAAAGTGCCTAAACACACCTCGTTTTCAGAGCAGCACGCACATGGACGCAAATGCATTTGCTATTTAAACAACGCGGCACAGGACGGGAAAAGGAGAACTGCGTCGGGCTGAAACTAGCAAAAACTCTTGCGCCGCAATGTACACCCTTGCACCACATTGCGCCGGGTGTATGATAGGGCCCTTAAGAGTCCAAATGCAGTCACAGAGAAAAGCAAGCAAATATTTAATAACTGAAGCTTATTCTATATAGAAATTAATCACATATATATATGTGAGAAAAAAA